TGGGTCAGGCTGGGCCCGGCCACCTCCTCCCGCTCCGCTGCGTTAGCTCCGGCTCCCGGTAGCGCTCCTCCTGCCCCGGCTCCCCCACTCGCTGCGCTGCCAGTGCCAGCTCTTGGCCCCAGGGACCTGGCTACTCACGGAGGGATGGAGGGTGATCCTGACCTACACCCAAAGGGAGGATTCCACCACGGGAGAGGATTTTTGGACCAAGAATGAATCCCCAAGAGTGCCATGAAGCGCTGGCACGGCGACAACAAGAATACGGCTAATAGTTACTCGTACAATCTCTGGTACGCATGAGGATACGAGTATTTCTAAGCCTTTATTTTATTTAATATTAACTTGAGCCCGGCCGGTGTGAGCATTGACCTATGAAGTAGGAGATGTGGGTTTGATTCCCGGTCAGAACACATGCCCTGGTTGTGGGGTCCATCGCCAGTATGGGGCGTGCAGGAGGCAGCCCGTCAATGATTCTCTTTCATCATTGATGTTTCTATCTCTCTCTCCCTCCCCCTACCACTCTGAAATCAATAAAAAGTATTTTAAAAAAATATTAACTGGAGTCTATCTCATTCTCTGAGAAATTCAGAGTCTTCCTTAAGCAATTTCTCATGTTCATGGTTCCCAACATTTTCAGAGTGCTCTTTGGTTCATTGATGTTTCTATCTCTCTCTCCCTCCCCCTACCACTCTGAAATCAATAAAAAGTATTTTAAAAAAATATTAACTGGAGTCTATCTCATTCTCTGAGAAATTCAGAGTCTTCCTTAAGCAATTTCTCATGTTCATGGTTCCCAACATTCTCAGTATGCTCTTTGGTAGCAGCAGTACCTTAGACCTGAACAAGGTGGTCCCTAACCTGCGCCACCCCATTTGGGGACCTCCCACCTACTCCCAGTGCCCCATCCCATTTTAGACCCATCTCAGGGTACTGGGGACCCTGGAATTCCCTGCCTGCCTCCAGGGTGTTGGGGAACTCCTGCCCCTGCATCTTCCCCAGGGTGGGTCAACCCCCTGTGTGGTGTTGCCCATGGGCCCAAGGGGTGGCAGTGGAGGCAGGTGGATGGAGGTTGGGTGAGGAGACCAGGAAGGCTGAGAATAGGAAAAGAAGGAGGGCCCCTCGCCCTGCTGCCCTTTCCTGGGCTGAAAAGGTCATTATTAAAGAGTTAGAGGGAGGACTTGTTGCTCAGCTGTCAGCTCTTGCTACAGCTATACAGAACTCCTCATCCAAAGGCTCGCCTTGCCCTCGGGCTGGGGAGGCATGAACCAGCCCTTTCACCTAACTTGGTATCTTCTGATGGGCCATACATGCCCTAGGCCACCCTGTGGGGTTGGCTGAGGCTTGGTGGGGCCTGCATTGCAGTTGGACTTCTCCCTCTGCCTGTTCCTCTTTCCTCTCTGTGTTGATCACTAGTAAACACCCTTCAGGCCAAACTCAGTCTCAGTGTCTGCTCCTGGAGACCCAAACTGTGACAATTTGTCAAAACTGGAGTATAGAGTATAGTTTCTTTAACACATCGATCAACTTGATAGATTGACTGTTGCTTTCAAAGAGTTAGACAGAGTATGTGGGCATCCCTGTGTACTCTTGCACTGGGCCTGCGAATATCACAGCCGTTCCTAACAGGGAGGTCAGTATGGAGGGTCTGGGAAGATGTGGATTTGATTCTTGACCCAGCTACTGGCCAACCCTGGGGATCCTGGGCACATGCCTTTTCATGTATTTCCTTAACTTCGAAGATGAGCACATCTACCTTTGTTTGGCCCATCTCACGGGTGTCTGAGAAGCTGGAATAAGACATCAGTGGAGGGGACCAGGTTATAGTCTGTAATCTGTAAATCTCTATATGCACAGATGAGGTGGCAGTGATGTGATTGTCCCACTCCAGTTTGAAAACTGAAACGGGTTGAACCATTTCTCCCCATCCAAAGAGCAGATCCAAGATAGCTAGAGATCAAAGAAAAGTCAACACTCAACACAGTCCAAGCTTTTCTTTCAAGGCTAGCTACTTGTCTATCTTCATTATAGTGACTTTTGGCCACAAAAGACTCATGCTCAATATCCCAAAATTGTTATCTCAAATTTCAAGGAAGCAGAATAATCCAACAAGAACAATAGGAAAAAGAACAAAGATCACCATAGTGAAGAAATGAGAAGAATCTGGAATTGGTTATCAGGCCTGGTTTAAAATGAAGTCTGAGATTCAGCTAGTATAAATATACTAGAGGCCTGATGCACGAAATTCATGCAAGGGACTCGGCCCTGCCACCGCGGCTTTGTCCGGAAGGATGTCCGGTCTAATTAGCATATTACGCTTTTATTATTATAGATGAACTCTGGCCCTGGTGGGTGTCGCTCAGTTGGTTGCAGAATCATATAGTCCACTAAAAGGTTGTGGGTTCGATTTCAGTCAGGGCACATACCCAGGTTTCTGGTTTGATCCCCTGTTGGGGCATGTGCAGGAGGCAACAGATTGATGTTTCATTGTCACATTGATGTTTTTTTCTCTCTCTCCCTCTCCCTTTCTCTCTCTATAAAAATCAATAAAAGGATGTCCTCGGATGAGGATTTTAAAAAATGTTAAAGATATGGGCTCTGGCATACATGAAAAAAAAAACAGCTAGGTTAATTACCACATATTGGAGTATTCATCAAAGAAAGGTGGCCAGTGTTATACATACGTGTGTGTGTGTGTGTGTGTGTGTGTGTGTGTGTGTGTAGCAAGAGGAATTCAAATAATAAATTCAAGAGATAAGTTTAAAACTGGACTACTTGCTCTCACTGGTATGCTCAGTGGTTAGAACTCCAGCCCACACACCAAAGGGTTGTGGGTTTGATTCCCAGTCAAGGGCACTTACCTGGGTTGCAGGTTTGATCCCCAGCCCTGGTCAAGGTACCTGTGGGAGGCAACCAATTGATGTGTCTCTTTCACATCAATGTTTCTCTCTCTCTCCCTTACCTCCCTCCCTTCCACTCTATCTAAAAATCAATGAAAAAATCTCCGCAGGTAATGATTAACAACAACAACAACATAAAACTTCTAGAAGATGACACAGGAGAAAATCTAGATAACCTTAAGTTTGCTGATGACTGTTTAGATATAACACCAAAAGCACTATAATTTGGATTTCATTAAAATTAAAAATTTCTGCTCGGTGAAAGACACTTAAGAGAATAAGAAGACAAGTCACAGAGTGGGAGAAAATATTTGCAAAACACATATCAGACAAAGGACTTGCATCCAAAATATAGGAAAAAAAAACTTTTAAAACTCAAAACAACAAAACAAATAATCCAATTTAAAATTAGGCAAGAAATCTGAAGTAAACATATGAAAAGATTCTCATTAGGGAACTTCAAAATTAACTATTTTGAGATACTGCTGCACACCTATTAGGTGGCTAAAATCCAAAACACTGACAACACCAAATGCTGGCGATGATGTGGAGCAACGGGAGCTCCCACCCTGTGCTGGTGGGAATTAAAATGGCACAGCCACTTTGGAAGAGAGTTTGATAGTTTCTTACAAAGCTAAGCATACCATACAATCCAGTAATTGTGCTCGTAGATATTAAGCCAAATGAGTTGAAAACTATGTCCACACAAAAACCTGCACACAAATGTTTATAACAGCTTTATTCATAATTGTCAAAAATTGGAAACATCCAAGATGTCCTTCAATAAGTGAATGATAAATAAACTGTGTTCTATCCATGCAATGGAATATTGTTCAGCAATAAAAACAGATAAGCTATCAAGCCACAAAAAGACATGCAGGAACCTTAAATGCATAATGCTAAATAAAAGAAGCCAGTCTACATACTGTACAATACTGATTATATGACATCTATCTGGAAAAGGCAAAGATAATAATAGGGAAAACTGGGAGCCAGAGGGGATGGAAGATATATAGGAACTCTTTATACTTTCTGCAAAACCTTCTGTAAACCTTAAAATGCTCTTTTAAAAAGTGTATTTAAGGGGCGGGCTGTGGAGGCAGGCTAGAAGAGGTCAATGGGGGGAGGAGGGAGGACATATGCAATACTTTCAAAAATAAAGATTTTTTAAAAATTGATTGATCTCCATCCTGTGAGGACACAGGGAGAAGGCAGTCATCTGCCAGCCACAGAGAGAGCTCTCGCCCAAAACCAAATTGGCTAGCACCTAGTCCTGGACTCCCAGCCTCCAAAACCATGAGAAAATAAATTTATGTTGTTTAAAAAAAATGATTATTGAAAATATTTTGGCCCAGCCAGTGTTGCTCAGTGGTTGAACATCGAATAACCCATGAATCAGGAAGTCATGATTCCATTCCGTCAGGACACATGCCCAGGTTGCAGGCTGGATCCCCAGTAGGTGGCAGCAGGAGGCAACAGACCAATGATTCTCCTCATTGATGTTTCTGTCTCTCCCTCTCCCTTCTTCTCTTTGAAATCAATAAAAACATTTTTTTTTAAGACGAAAATATTTTGGTCACTATTTATATGACTCCCTCTATCAAATTCCAGCATGCAGTAAATATTCTTATGAGGCATATAACCATGCATCACTGCCTTGTTGCCAGAGAGCACTCGAGAGCAGCAACACCACACAGCATCTGCCCATGCATTTGATTGATGCATAGCAATTCATCAGATGATTACTTTAATTGTAATTTGGGGGTTTTTTTCAGTGAAATGCTTTTTCTTACAGATAAATTTCAAATATTT